GATATATTAGTGGTTAACAAGTCACTAGTGTGACTCACCCCATCACTGTAATGTTTTTAGTAGCCAAACTCTTTAAGTATGGGATTATCCAAATGAAAATTGGTTAGGGTAGTACTAAAACCTTACGAAAAGGTGCATTAAAATGGAGTTATAAAGAGAGGAGTCGTTCATAAATATACGTGGCACTATGGCAAAGAGTTAAGGGGGGGGGGGCGGAGGTAGCATCTACATTATAATACCATAGGTAATTCAAAGGAATCTTGGTTGCTCATTGATAAGTATGTTTAAAATCAGCCTGTGAAAACTAATGAGTTCAGAAACAGCCTAGCAGCAAAAAATTTGTGGAGTAATAGTTCCTGCAGACCTGGCTTGATGCTAAAAGTAGTAAGCATCAAAGATCACAATGGCTAAACTGTTTGAAAATGCCAGGTTTTTTCCTCACTGCTTGGGGGAGTAAAACTTAGCAGAAGGAGGACCCAGAGCAGAATACCTTTCCTGGAGCATAAGAAAATGTCCTGTCATTTCTAGGCATCTGGTATGCCAGCACAGAATAAGTAATCATCTCCCGCTCCTATGAATAACTTGCTGTGAGCAACAGGAATGCTGCTTTTTTTGATATGATCACATCTCCTCAAGACATAGATTGCTATAATTTTCATGTTGTTTGCATTTTTATCTTCAAATTAGAAAACCAAATAAGTTCTGAAGTATGAGTTTCTCCTCTGAATGAACACAAACATTTTTGGTGTATGTTAAGAAGCAGTTCTGTGACTGCAATGTTTATTCAAATGGAACAATGATTTTAAAAAAGAAAAAGAAAAAATAAGCAGGAGTCCTGCAGAAAAGATGTGAAGAAAATGCATGGCTCATAACCTTAACGTGAACCAATAGCCTTACACAGTGAGGCAAAACAAGGTACCATGTTGGGATTGTATAAAGTGGAAGATGCTGTGCAAGGCGTGTGAAACAATCCCTGCGCAGTATTTGGCATTAGGGAGACCTCGGCAGGAGCAACGTGTAATTTGGAGCACTCGAGTTCAAACAAATAGGTGGCCCAAGGCAGAACGGCTAAAGGGCAGCAACAAGCATGATCATACACCCAGAAAAAATAACCTCCTCGGAAACACTGAGCAGAGGAGAGTTCTTTTAGTCTAGGTGATAGGGCTGAAAAGAGATGTCCATCCTCAGAGGTGCAAGAAGTCTTTGCAGTGAAGGATCGGTTGGCTGCTCTTTCTGCTGATGTGCAAGGGGAGAGGCGATGGGAGTAACCTGGTCTGTTGTGTTTGGAAGGAAAGGAGAACCACTGCAGTAGCGCAGAGTGAGAGCAAGGAGATTGCCTGGATGCTGTGTAGCCGTCATCGTCAGAGGCGTGAGGGTCAGGGTCCAGAGAGCGCGGTATCGGGTCTCGGGTCTGGCAGGTGGATCAAGGTGAATGCTTGAAGTTCCTCACAAATCTATGAACCTTTCAGTGTAGCCTCTGTTTTTTTAACTCCTTTATTTGAAATGAGCCTGCTGCTCAGGATTTCTGTTTGCACTTTGCAAATAATGATTAAATTATTTCAGTGAGGATCTTTGTCCTCTCTTCAGCAGCAATGGTGATTAAATGCGTGACAGTAGGATTTGTCTAGGAATCACGCAAGGAGTCCTACAGAGCCAGATCTGGGACAAGATGAGATTTAGTGCTGTGCCATGGTCACAAGGCCGTTCTTCCGTGAGAATGAATTATTCCCCTGCTGCAGAGGTGGGGTGGTTGTGTGTTGGGGGGAAAAGGGTGATTTTTTTCTTCAATTTCATTCTGTGGGGTTGTCAGAAGGTTGTTTTGTTGGTCAGAAGCACTCAGATGTACATCACTGCATGGCTCTTCACCTTCGGTTGAGGACCCTAACAGCTTTCTCGTTTGCGTTTGTTGGGCATGAGCAAATTATTTTATTTGATGGCAAAAGTAAATAAAGAGTTGCTCATTTGTAGTTATATGAAAAAACCCAGCTGTTTCAAAGTAGCATGCTTTCAGAACACAATAAAAATGGCTGAAAGATTTTTCTTCGCTTGTTCAGCCCAAGTGATTTGAATAAGCACTTTAAACTTTCATTTTCTCTGGATAATTAAAATTAAACTGAAATTTAACAAATTAAACTGACATTTGTCCAGATTTCTCCCTTTTGTTTCTAATGACTGCTTATTTTTCTTTGCAAATAAATTTCTAATGTGTAATGTGTTGCCCAAAGAGACAAATCTGGGGAGCTGGTTTTTTCTCCAGATGGTGGACTTGAGTCAAAGGTATCTGACAAGAATCCCTGACCCATGTTTTGACTTTTGTTAGTGGACTTGCATGCTTTTCAGGGAGTCCTCAAAATGCTTATGTTTTGGGAACACCAATAGTGGCCTTATACTGCTTTCTGGTAGATATTCCTCTGTTGAATTTAAACACTGATTAATGGTCTTGTTTGGAAAATTTTTTCAACTAATGATGTTGTTCCAGGCTACTAACGCAAGGATCTTAGCAATGGAAACCTTCAGAATAAGACCTCTGATTTTTAAATTTAACTTTTTTTTTTTACTCTTTAACTGTGATCTTGTATTTTTACAGTGATGTGACTGTATAAATATTTTTGTCTGTAGTAAAAGTGTTCTGTTTCAAACAGAGCTGTTTCAGTGAAGAGCCTTTGACTAGAGAAAGAGGTGAACTGCTGTGAATGGTTATTCCAGATAGACTGAGGGGTTTTTTTTTTAATTTTATGGCTTTAGAAGACTCCTAGATGGATTTCTAAATTGTATTTTTAAACATTTTCTGTAAATCCTGGGGAGGGGGGTGGAATCTGAGTGTTGAATCAACCTGCTGCTACTTATTTTGCTAACCAGTACTCTCTCATCTCTTTGTGCTTTCTCTTCTCATCTGTACCTACCTTGAACTTAGGGCAGAAGATCTTGGGGGCAGGAATTGTTACCCAGTGCTGTGCTGATTAATCATCTGGCATAATGGAGTCTTTGTGTGAATATAGCTCCTTGTTCCTATCAAAATCCAAATAATAAATACTTTAAGGTAAAAACATCATGAGGATGTTATGAGCATTTTGGTAGAGTATTATCAACCTGTGAAAATGCAGGGGCAGGGAGTTACATTTTAGGTCAGTATTATTTATCTGAAAAATTTTAGTGCCTGTTTAATGTATTGTTAACTCTACTCAAAAAAACCTAATTAGGCGTGTAGCTTATTAACACCCCAGATAAATTAAAGCAGCTTTCTAAAAGATATGCATATTTTTTCTTTGAGTCACAGCGTAGCAATACAATGGTTTATGTAGTGAAATTACGTGTTTTCTTACCTAGCACTTTGAATTGCTTTAAACTTCAACATTAAGTCTGAATTTAAAGATTTATGCTGCTTGTTTATTTCTAGGACTTTTCTAGAAACAATCAAAACTCAATGCTTTGTGAGCTGTACGCCCACATGCTGCATTTTTTTTAATGTTGAAGCCATACTTACCTGGAGGTAACAACCAAACAAAAAAAACCCAAAAAGGGGTGGTGGTGGTGCAGGACACAAGTTCTTCTGCATTATCGCTGAGCTAATGCAGCACAAGTTGGATCTGCTGTTATCGCTGTTGGAAAGCTCATGGGATATATCTTACCTTTTTGATCACAGTCAAGCTCTAACATTTTCTTCCCTCTTCAACCTGCTCTCAGAGAAGAGATGCAACGCCTCAAATTCCTCTTAGATATTTTGTATGTGGATTGTACAGTTTCAGAAATCCATGTTGGAGCCTTTCATAAGCAGTAGTAATTAAGTTTCTCAAGGAAATATTTTGCTGGATTATTAATTTTTTGCCCCTTGTTTTACACAATATGAATTACTTCTAGATCAATATCAAATTGTGGTCTTTTGTCTCTTTGAATGTGTTTTTCTGAATCTATCAGGCTTTGGTGTAGACTTGAGAATTTCCTAGAATGCATGTTTGGTAAATCACATTAAGATGCTAGGATTTATTGTATCAACTTTTAGGTAGCCTGAACTATCTTACTGGGGTACTTTTTTCTTGATCAGTTTAAACTGGGAAAGCAAAGCAAGAGCTGTAACTCAGCCTTATTATAATTCTTACAGTTCACAACTGGACAGGAGCCCGTTTTGTCCAGGATTTACAGTATGAATGGGTATCTAAATCACTCCATTTCAAAACAAGTCTAGCATACATTTTCAGCTTTAGTTGTGAGTTTCCTGACTTTTTTCCCCTCAAAATAAGGACTGCAGGTTTGATTTGTATAAACAGTGTTAGCAATTGAGGAGCCTTCTGACTGCAGATGCCGAGACCGGATTATGGGAAACATGACGGCAGAAAATAGAGGATTTAGAAGTGAGTGGTTATGTTTCTAACCAGCTGAACTCTAGCTTAATTCTTCAACTCGCTTCCCTAGTAAAAGAAACAAAAGGAAGACAGAAAAATAACGTAAAGGCAATGCTATCCGGTTTTGCGGCTGTCTGCATTGGTAAACACTGGTAAATAGGAATAATTTAGATGACTCTTTTCTCCAATATCAAGTGATACGCTAATAATGTTTCATCTATATCTCCCCTGGGTATTATTTTTATGTAAAATGTGTCTGCAAAAGTGCCTGATGACCCTGTGGTAGAGCTGGCTTCCCGCCCCGGTGCTGGGGGGCAGGCGGTGGGCCGCGAGGGGCCTCTGTCCCGCCAGCAGGATGGTGGGCAGTTTTGGTGGCGGTCTGGGTGGCTTGGTGACTGCCAGCTCCGGCGGGTCGAGGGCAGACACTGGGGTGCCGGTTAGGGAGCACGGAAACGCCGACGAGAAACGTGAGGAAGATGCAGTCAGGGAGAGCCTGTGTCTGGGTCCTTGCACAGCCGTACTGTGACAGAGAAACTTGTCATTTTTATCAAAACAAAGTTGGTTTAAAAACTGGCAAAACAAAGCTTAACTAACTTTTCAGAGACTATTGTTTAGGTTTGTCGTGGTATATGTATTGTATATTTATTTTTTTTTCCACAGAAACCTGCTAATATTTTAGTTATGGGTGAAGGTCCTGAGCGAGGAAGAGTAAAAATTGGTATGTTTATATCTTTGATAAGTCCCAGTGTAGCATTTAAGTTAGAATGTTCTGAAGGTGCAGTTGTACCACCGAAAGTAGTCACTGTAATACTAGTATGTGCCTGGGCACATTGCCTAAATGCTGTTTTCTGAGTGACTGGCTTCTTGATATTAGCCCCATGCACCAGTTCTGACGATGAAATGCTGTAGCCTCACCAATAAGAAGTGGAAAATGTCATTATATTTTGTTTAAGTGGGTGTTTGTGTGGGGTGGGGGATTTCAATATGGGGATAAAAATGACAACTAGCTAGGGGAAAAGGAGGAGAAAGAAGTGAGGTTTTAAAATTTCCTCCGTTTACCCCTGTAATGCCATGACACTATCTTGCTGCTGCTTATAAAAACTAAATAGGGAACTACTCATTACTACAAACCTTAGATTTTATAATGGAATCGAAGGTGGCGTTTAGCCTACAAAATGTTCTTGAAAGGGTAGACAGGTCCCTTGGAGATAAACGCGAGGGATCTTAAAAGTCCAGAAAACACAGTAATCCAGCCAAAAAGCGTAGCGAGAACTACTGCTAAATGCTCAAACTGGGATGTTCCAGGGTAGGAAGCACCCAACACTTTCCCCACTAGTGTAACATTTTCTGGTGGGAGTTACTGTTCACAGTGAGAGAGGATCATTTGTAGAACTTCACTTGTTTTAAATTAAAGTAAATAAATAAATAAAAATTAACCGTAGTCTAACAGTAATAAGCTATGCCAGGCTGTGCATTAGTGTGGCCGTGCTTTTGATAGCAGACTGCTAATGCGCAGCCTACTTACATTCGTTACATCCCGTTTGGAAGGGTTTTTTAAAGCTAGTTCATCTTTTTCACTTCCCTCTGGCTTTCTTTTATGAGATTATTCTTCTGCATTGTTGCTCTGTACTCTTACTGTTTTGTTTATCTGAACTGTACCGTTAATCACTAGTATAATGATTCGGGGTAGGATTTTGTTGGAGGGTTCAGTTCTGCGCTAGTCCTTCCCTTGCCCCTTGAAACCCAAGGAGGAGATGGGCCAGGGCTGAACACTGCTGCAGATCTTACCCTGAAAGTTTTTCATGCCCTTCCGAGGTTTAAGGTTGACAGTAGAGACTGAGGTCTTCTCCGTACAAAACGGGTACAGCACGGACAGCGGAAGGGAAAATTTCTTCCTAATACCTTATTCTTCATGGAGTGGTTGCTTCCCAAATTGAGAATGTAGGTTGTCCTCTGGGCATGTTCACTTTCAACTGTGGTGGTGATATTTGCTGTACACAACTACTTGCTAGTAATTGCACATAGACCACCCATTTATTTCTTAATTTATAGTTTTGAGTTAATTTGGGAATAACTTAGAACACAACTAAATTTAGTCAGACTGTTAATGGACAGGTGGAAGATTCTGTATCGGAGCACCAGTCCTCTGAGCCATCCATTCCCAGCGGGAGAAGAGGGAGGGGGACCCTGGATTTCTAAGTGTGGTATCAAAATGTAGAGATTTTTTTTTCTTATTTTCTGAAGATATTACCACAGCAGGAAAAGAATGCAGAAGTTATACCCATACCAAGGGCTTCCACATTTCAGTGTAACTAATTTTTCTAAAAAATACATAAATGGTATTTAACTTAAAATAATTTTTGTAGGCTTTTTGTGTCATTTTGGGTCATAAATTCACTTTCTGCCAACTGTTTTCCTTATTTTTCATAGTTATTAGTGACTTGATCATATCTTGAATAATTGATATTTTAATGTAGAAAGCTGTAAAATGTTTCTCTTTTTAAATGCATTAAAACAATCATAAATAGGAATGCATATGAAAAAAAATTAAGGATTGTGTAGTCGAGTTAGAGACCCTTATCGACACTGCAGTTTTCCCTCAACCAGTGAGCTGTAGCATGCAGGTCCTTTTCCCTCAGAATGGCTGCTCATCTCCGTTCATTCGAGTCTTTCTCAGCATGTGTATATCCCTCCACCACAGAGTCCCTCTGTCTGGGGATTTGGGGAGTGGTGGGTTGGGAAACGATTTGGTGGGAAAAGGTGCATATTTTAGTCTCTGCCCAGTTTTTTTCCTGCATCACTTCTATTTGGTAGCTCAGACAGCTTCCTAGGCAGTTGTATGCTACCAATTCTAAAAAGCAGTTTTTAATGATATAATGCCCCCAAACAGAATTTTAAAATCATAGCCTAAATGGTATTTAGTACTGGTATCTTGATACTGGAAATACATCTTGACAGAGGCTTAGCAGGGAGGCAGATGCTGTAGGCTTAGTTGCTGGTTTTGTGTGAAGGAAATCTTGCTACAGCTAACTTCATGAGGAGGGAGCTTTTGTGACGGGCACGTATGTGTTATAAATCATTCTAACCTTTGCAGAACCTGCATTTTGCTCACACCTAAAATGCTGCTTCTTGAAAGCCGATCCTGTAATAACAGAATATTTTACTGGAGAATATCGGGTAAAATGAGTCGGGATTTACCAGTGTCCTGAGAAGTGAGTTGGTGTGCTTTTTCAGAACAATGGTTAATTCCTTGTTCTAAATGGTTCATGTTAGTAATGATTTATAATGATATACTTTATAGGTGATGACATCCAGTAACTTCTACAAAAGCTTTTAGAAAATCTACTCACAGAATTCGTATCTGCTGCAGTCTGCGTTTGCATTTTATTTAGCAGTGATGGTAGCGCTAACAAGTAACTCAATCAGTTTGTTTAAAAAAAAAAATTAAAAATTGGTAGTTTTTCCTCAAATTTTAAAGCATCTCTTTTTGAATTTTGCAGCTGACATGGGCTTTGCCCGATTATTTAATTCACCTCTGAAGCCTTTAGCAGACTTGGATCCAGTAGTTGTAACGTTCTGGTATCGAGCTCCAGAGTTGCTTCTTGGAGCAAGGCATTATACCAAAGCTATTGGTAAGTAAATTGGGTGAAAAGTTACTATTTTGTTCTTTACATAAATTGTACACAAATACTGAAGCATTGATAAATAGTACAAAGGACAGTGGCTGAGTTAAAGGTATGTTACTAATTTCTCGAAGAAATATTAAACTTTGAAAAATTGTTTCATTTACTATGGTCTCTGGCTATATATGAGTGAGATATTTCTGGGGTTTGGCTCCAAATGCCTTGCAATGCAATGCAAGTTTATAAGGCTTTCACGCAAGACTTTCATAAATGCTGTTAGAGGCAATAAAAGTATGGATGCATCTTTGAACTATTAGTAGGATCCATATTACGATGATGATGAGGCACAGTGCATTAATTTTATTGCAGAGGTTTTTACCTAGTGTAATAAATACATGAAATAAGGAGTGTACAGAATGGAGACTATATGGGCTGCACTGAAACTAAACTGTAAAAATAAGCTGTGTTTTAACTTCTCTCTGTCTTTCAAAGCACAAGTGTGAACAGGAATTGCTTGAAGTAGTGAGATGTGGTCAGTCATGCAACAGGCTGGGCTGTGACGCTGCATCAGGCATATCCAGAAAAAACCAAAAACCCTCACCGAACGCAGGCGCTGTGAGGATGGCATTAGTTACATCAGCTTAACGCTGCATCCTCCTCACCATGGAATTCATACCTCTCAGTCTGAATTGTAAGAGCTTTGGCATGGCAGGGTTGACTCAGCTCTGCCCTTGCCACTTGAGGGGTAAGGGAGCGCCTGTGCCCGTGGGAGCCGTGGCTGTGGGGTGGGGGGATCGCCCAGCCTCACCTTCAGTGGGGGGGAACGGCTTTGCTGTGGAAGGGAGAGAGAATGTAGGGAAGAGGAATGGGAAGTTTTTCTCTTGGTGCCTGGTTTAAAAGATGCGTTAAAGCCTGGGCAACCATTTTTGGGGAGATAACTTCCCCTGTGACGCTCCACTTACTTTGCACAAATGTGGAGGTTGTATGTCAGCGTATGTGGTGGTGTTTCTGCAGCCTGAAATTCTTTCCTCAGACCTTAGCCATTCTTTTTTTAACATCATGTCAGTGGTTTTGTCAGAAATTCTAATGTTTATGACTTAACAGAAAAGTAAATGAAAATACATTTAATACTATATTTCTTTTATAGATTAAATACTTTTCTTTATATGTTCCTTTAAATTGCTTTTTTGTTGTATTTGCATGTTCGTTCACTTTACTCGCATTTTCTTCCGCTTGCAGCATGTGAAACTGCATGGACAGTCATAGCCTTTAGTTCATAATTTTTTTCAGCATAGATAAAGCCTGACTGTATACAAACACTGAGTAATGGGGTTATGCTCTGTGCATCATTTGCTTTTACCTTGTTCATGACCTTTTCTTGTTCATTCAAGGTTCAGTGTAGCATTACTTTCTGTAAGTTAAAAATTACATTTGTATGTGCTAGAAGAAAATGGGGAAAACAACCGGGAAAATTCAGGCTATCTGATTTTGCAGATCGGGACACAACAGTTAAAACAGAAAGGTTTTTGGTTTGTGTTTTTTTTTTTTTAAAATGAATGTTATCAAAAAAAGGGGTGAGGGATGGAGCGATTTTCTTGTTACTTTGTCTGCAAGGTTTTATAGATAACATTTGGCTTATTCGAATATCACAGCTTTTCAACTTGTGTATCTTGGGTCATTTAATACTTATTAAACGCGATGGCTGATCAGAGAGGGCATGTTTCTTGGTGGGGACAGTATGGCAGTGAATGGCCAAGATGTTGGTTGGCTTTTCTTCATTTGTATTTTATGCGTGGACAGTTACCCAAATAGTTTTCTTTGGTTTTTTTCTTAGTCAAATTCATTTTTTACAGCAATAAATGGTAACTACACTTTAAAAAACCCACAAACACTTGTATGATATTCTCTCAGCTCCTGTGTAGTTAGTGAATTGTGTATCTCTATCCATAGCTAAAAGGAAAAGTTGAGGAAGTGTTGCACTTGTACAGTAGAAACTTGAAATTTTCAATGCAGGGACCTTATCTCTGATAAGGTAAAAACTAACTTTCTACCTCACCAAGATGCTTTTGGAAAGATTGATTTGATTTTTTTTTTTATTTCTGTTCTCCTTTTTTAAAGATATTTGGGCCATAGGGTGTATATTTGCAGAGCTGCTAACATCAGAGCCAATATTCCATTGTCGACAAGAAGATATCAAAACTAGTAATCCTTATCACCATGACCAGCTGGACAGAATATTCAATGTAATGGGATTTCCTGCAGGTACATACTGTATTTTTTTTATCACCGCTGTTCAAAGAGAGATATTTGTATTGCTTGCTTTGCATACGAAGGTGGCAGCTGAGCAAAGCAACAAAGCTGTTGAAACGCAATCTTTATTTCATGAGTTATAAATCTAGAATCTAATGGCCATATTAGATATTTTTCCTTATTATTAATGATGGGATTATCTTTGAGTATGCATGTACCAATGTTTTATAATTTTAACAGGTCATGTTTAATGGTGGAAGATTAAAAACCAGAAGGAATATTTCTCTGTTTCTTCGGTACTGATTGTAGATTTGGAAAGTGACTGATTGTATGAAACTAAGCAAAAATCTATACATTTAGCAGATGTTTAACTCATGTTAAATTAAACATAGCATTTGACAGTAGGGGAGGGTATCTGGTCCGTCCCCCCCCCACACACACACACACCTGGTAGAAAGGCTGTGGTATGGAGAAAATGTCTTTGTTCCAAACCGGAACAAAGAACTGGTTGCATGACCCAAAACAAATTACCACGTGGATGTCACTTGTTGCATTTTCCCCTTGGTGTTGGTCATATCTTGTTTTTCAACAGGCTGTCTTGCATCATCTCAGTTAATGCTTTGTCTTCTAGTGTTCTCATGATCACAGGGGTCAGAAAAACAGGGGCTTTAGTTTTACTTTTTGGTCATCTTTCTCCTCCTGCTTGTGTTCCTTGCTGTTGTCCATTCAGTGTTAATAATCTTTTTTGTCACTGTTCTGGTGGACTTTCTTCTTCCTATCACATGAATTTTGTGGTCTTTATGTTTGTGTGGTTCTAGAATGTCATTAAATTCACTCTTTTTTTTCCCCTTTGACTTTTTTTATCCTGTATATACTTCATTGCTTCTGTACTGCTGTGTGAGGTTCTTCCAAGTATTGCCTTTGCATATTGAATACTTTATTTTCTTCAAAATCCCACTTAATTTCGCTTCTTTAAGAAATACTGTGCTTTTCTGCTTTTAGCCTAGAGTTTTACCCTTTTCTTATGCTTTTCTTACTTTATTTGGGTTTTATATTGTCTGTGTAGCTTACATAAATAGATGATACTCTCATTGTTTTCTGATTGATTTAAATAATCCTTTCTGATGGTCTGCATTTGACTTTTGAAGGTCTTTAGTTCTTACCAAGAAATACTATTTTTCATTTAATTGCAGCAAGTTTTTTGGTTTTTAATTGACACTTGCCATATTTGAAACAGTTGCCCATGTCTTGGGGATAGG